ATTGAAAAAAAAACTGCAGACCAAAGCGGACTATTATGCAAATTGATTTTAATTTTTATTGATTACATCGAACATTACTTTGGTGTTGCGTGTAAAAAGCATCACCATATAATTCAAGTAAATTAAAAATGATCGGATTTTAATTTTTAATAAAAAAATTATGCGAAACGAAAAACTCATTTTAAATTATATTGCGTCGAATTTATTTGTTTCATTTTAATGCATTTATGATTTTTGCAGCTTAAATTGCAATTTAAAAAGACCATGGTGCTTCACCAAACAGCCCTCTGACCACTTGACCGAACTTGTAAAAATGGTCAGTGCAAAAAAAAAAAAAACGTGGAAGCTTTGATGTGGAGATTTTATTTCACAGAACCAAAAATAAAAATAACTTTAAACCGAAATCAATTACAAAATCGCATTTAATTTTTTTTTTTCATTTCTGGAAAAAATTAATGCAAATTAAGATGCATTTTCAAAAAGCAATAAATTCTTTTACCTTGGAATTGCTTTCACAACAGCTGGTATCCGCATTAAAATTGCCCCATTCAGGGGAACAATGCATTTTTTTCTTTGCACACACAAAAAATTGTTATAGCTCATTAGTGCATTGTAATTGAGTTGCTTTTTAAGTAGCACATTTTTTTTTTGCTTTCGGATTTCCATATCAAATTCGACATTCATCTGCACACGTAAAATTAATCAGCTCACTGAATTCGAATGGTATATACGTATATACATTACCGATGCAGTTCACCGTCATTATGACCTTGCCATGTCTAGTAGCTAGGAAAAATGAGAATTCTGTCGACTGTATCGTCGTGACAGCCATCTATCAAAAAATGGTAGTAACCATGGCAATCACAAATGAGAATACACACGCCCCAAAAAAATAGAAATGAAATCTGTTGACGTTTCTTCCACTGACTATAATCTCTTCACTTTTTTCCACACCAAGTCAACTGGCGAACGTTTTTTCCTCATTCCATCGAACTTAGCCGCAATGAAACGTTTTGAAAGTTAAAATAAAGACTTCATCTGCTTATCTTTTTGGGTCGATGCTCATTTTTTCACTTTCTCTCTCTCTCTCTCTCTCTCTCTCTCTCTTTCTCTTATTCTATGATTTTGCCATTTTTTTCACGCCGTAACCGTTTTTCGATGCTTCAGAACAGGAGAGAAAAGTCGACAATGATATTAGACGGTGTCTTCAGCGATGCATTGAAATGAAATGAAAATCGGATATTACGAAAATGGTGGAACTGGCCGAGAACGGTGAATGATAGAAAAAATGGAGAGAGAGAAAAAAAAAACGACGATGTCGCTTTTGACAACATTACCAGTTGAGAAGCTGAGACGCACGCCGACGGAAAGAAAAATTGTTTTCATGTTGTCTAAAAAAAGAATATAAATGGATTTCGATCGCTTATTATTAGCGTTTCATTGGCAAGCACTTTTTCAATGTAACGAAAAATGCCGTTTCGATGAACATTGAACACAGCACAAAGTTTGCCTGTGCGACACACACATTAAAAGATAAGACACGATTCACTTCTCTACCTCTCCATTCCGTACCGTTGTCAGGTATCAGCCCATTCATGCGATTGCTTTTTATGGTCGGAAAAATATATACACACACACACAATGCTTTGGCTAAGTAATCCTTTTTAGCGCTCGAATTGTTCCAAGCGAAAACTTTTCAATTTCTTTTCGGAATTCATTTGAAAGTTTGGTCTGAAATAACAAAAACTTAAGGTGATTGCATATAAATATTTACATTTTGTGTTGTGATTTCGATGTGAAAGAGAAACAATTTTTGCAACGATCAATTCCATAGTCTCTCTCTCTATGGCATTACGTACGGGTTTTGCATTGTTTGCTACCGTGGAACGATGACTGTACCTATACTTTGCTATCTCTTCGAAGGTGAACATATTTGAAAAACAAATATAATTTGCAGACCTACGCTTCTGTTCTTGATGAATGGTGAATGGTTGTATTCAACGTGGTTTATTGAATATTTTTCACTGATTTATTGTAATGATTTGTGAAAGATACGTACGGTGGCATAGTGAAAGCATTTTGAAGGTCAAATGGTTTGTGTTGTGTTCATGGCAACCTTTATGATGATTGAGCATACGGAATACATACATATTTCATACATACACACACATAACTCTCGCATCAAATAATCAATTCGAGATGTTCCATCATAGATAACGGGCAACATCATCCGCTAGCATCGATGGTTCAAAATTGTCTGTATGAATTTCAAAATATACATCAAAGTGAAATCAGCTCGGTTGAAGCAATTTCAATTTTCCAAATAAGCTTCAATCAGCGCACACCGTGGCCATTCGCATCACGAACCGTGAGAGCATGAGTAGAGAAGCTCATTATCGTTATCGTTGTATCCATCAAATGAATTTGATGCTATTGAGAACGTGCAATTTCATAAGCGGAAAAAGCATTTTGTTTACACATTTTATCGTTTTATCGCGCCGTCAAATCGCTTTTCACATTCAAGTGTATGATGGTTATCGATCAGATGGATGCGAGCGGGGGACACGCACTCATTTGAATTTTTGTCATCGACTCTCCTTTCGGCGAGTGAGAGTTAGAGAGAGAAAGCAAACTGATGAATTACGGAAAACGTTGAGGTGTTTTCGATTGGCTCGTAAAAAAGAACGTTCTTGATACAGGAAGTGTGCAAATGCTAGCGCCATGTCACGCCGATAAAAACGTAAGTGTTGAGAGAATCGTCGTATCATTTGTGACTGCGACGGGGCACAAAAGCCAAAACACGTGAAAACATCCCTTTTTTTTTCGATCAAGTCAACACAATAGCGTCGATCAAATTGGATAAATTGAATGATGACTATGATTATACAGCAGCGTACTTTCACTAAATAAGTAAATTAATATCAGCTCTCTAATGCAATGATACAGCAGATCCGTGACTTCGATGACGTGGATAGTATCAATTCATGTCGTTTAAAATCAATTTTCGACATCATGTCATTGCCCGACTGAGTCAGACGAAGCGAATAAAGTATGCAAATTGGATGCGATCCGGAAGCAAGAGGAGAGAAAAAGAGAGAAAAGACGAAAATAAGAAGACAAAAGCAAAATGAATTACATTCCAATTTGGCCTCTTACTCAATGTTTTTTTCCTCGGGACGGTTTCACCTCTGGATGGGTTGCTAAAAGACTATTATTATTCTATTCGAATGTATTGAGAGAGAAATGAGATGAGAAACTACATAAAAACGCGGTCGCTGCGCAGATGACACATGAGCACACACACACACACACACACCAGCTTTTTAGGAAGAAACACAGTTCTGTGACGACGCGGCGAGTAGTTTGGAAAATTGATGACTCAATAAAAAAGCGTGGAACATTTTTTTAAGAGACAAAGTTCCGTTGCATGCAACACAAGCACCAGCCAATTATCTTCTCGAACGGGTTTTCACAGCTTATTATACGCAATTGATCATTTCAGTTGTTATTGCGCGTTTTCTCACTCTCTCCCTCTCTCTCTCTTTTTCTCTTTGGGTTTGTTTTTTCTCGCTCTTTTGGTATCGCGAACAGAACGCATTCAAATAAAGCATCCGCTTTTGCGCAAACATTTGTTGCTTTTATGGTGTTTTTCATTCCATTTTTTTATGTTCGATGAAATGAGAATCGATCAGAGTGAAGCATTACTTTTTTTTATTATCTTACATTTCTATAGATTTTTCGATAGCGAATGAAATGGGCGTTTTTTTTTTACAAATATTCGAATTTGTATGTTCATTTTTTTAATAACTGGAACTACCAGTGCAACGCAACGAACAGCACAGTGAAAAAGTGTTCAAGACAAAAGATATTGTCGCGTCGCGATAAAAAAGATGAACAAAAAAATGATTGCAATTTGTGAATTTCAATGACGTAATTTGAGAGAGTGAACATTAATGCAATGAACAACGAATGAAAAAGCGGAAAAAAGAAGAAAAAAAAAAACGAGCAGAAAATAGATTGGGAAGCGATTTAAAAGCAAAGTTGATGGATAAAGTGCGTTCTGTTTGAAGTGAACAATCATATGTTCGCGCGACGAACGCGCCATGGCCATTTTATCTAATGAAATTGTAGACGCAAGAACAAAGTAAAAGGCAAAACCAGAGTGAAGCGAAAAGAGAGCAGAAAAAATTGAGTGAAAATCATTTCTTCGTCACTAATAGCCGATTTAAATCAATTTTTCAACGATGACGTGCGCTTTATCGCACACACAATCTTGTGCATGTTTCCGTTTCCATCTCGTCCTATCGCATCCCCGCGTAAGCGAACGAACAACGCATCAACGAAAACAATCGCACATTGAAAACCGGAACTTTTTCGCTCATTCTCCATTTTATTTGCGCACATTTTTCGCCATCTTTCATCATCATTGTCATTATTGATAACCAATAAAAAGCACGTTTCAGCCATTTACTTTGGCAAAATTCATTGCCTCGAATTTGTCATGATCGAATATTGGTTGTACTTGTACTCCATCGTATGGCAGCCCGTATTGACTATCTTTTTAAATAAACGCCCGAAACGCATCCACCTAGAAAGTAACCGAGTGTGAGCACTTTTTCGTCGAATAGAAAGCAGCTTCTCATGTTTCCACATATATCGCCCAAAGAGAAACCGATGAGATGGCTTAAGGAAACCATAAACTTTGCCAATAATTCACGTTCAAATGACAAACAGCTGGAAAAATGGTCCAATATTACTAAACCATGCTCACGGAGTAACTCATCGTTTATTGAAAATGGACTCGTGCTTTTGGCCATAGCCACAATATATGTACATGTTCCCGCAAAACATAAAGCCAGAGAAAAATGGCATTTTCCTCATACATTCACTTGGTAATTTCTTGCAAAAAAAAAAATTGTTGAACAAATTTCGTTTCGAAGCGTAAAAAAATCGGTCGTACGCATAAAAAGTACAGCGATTAATCAAAATTGTAAACTTACCAGAACGTAAACGGCAAATGGCATAACAACAACAGCCACCAGAAGATCAGCTATCGCCAGCGAAACTATAAAATAATTTGTGACCGTTTGCAAAGTTCTTTCGCGATACACCGATAATATAACCAGCACGTTACCGAATAACGTCAATATCGGAAATATTAGTAAAATTAATGCCCAGTAATTATACTCTTGTCCAACTGTTACTGCATAGAGATAGATAAAAAGAGAGGAGAACAGAAATGGAATTGAGATTGGGATGGAAATTATCGTTATTAGCGATTGAAATTGCTTCCGTGTGAGAACCGCAATTTCGTGGCGCCACGTTGCGTGTGAAATTTACCTATATGCTCGTTACACGTTGCATTTGCAATGGAACAATTTTGAAAATCCAGTCCGATGCTACTATTTGCATTGAGTGTGGATCCGGTTGTGCCGATGCCGCTGCCCACGCTACCATTATAGTTGTAAAAGTATGCACTAAAATCCTCCATCAAAAGCATAAAATTGCTTCCGCCATCGTAATTTGATTTGTTGCTATGCGGCTCGCTGCCATAATCGTATTGGTATTGATATTGAAATGTTTGATTAATCACGGACGATGATGATGTGGATGATGGCGGCAACGAAGACACGGTGGCTGTACCATTGTTATTACTACCAATCCCATTGGCCAAACTATTTCCGTAAAAATCGAAACTGCCAAAGTTCACATTGTTTCCATTCGCCACGTTGTTGGCATTCAGTGCTGCCACACCACCTGAAATTCTATTTGAACCACCAACACCAGCACCACCACCACCGCCACCGCCGATGTCGTCGAACAATTTGAAGTAATCTGGGGAATTCCAGTTTAAATTCGTTGAATGGTTTGCCATCGCAGCGGGACTGATGCGGTTTCGCCTACTTTATCACAAACACTCACACAAACTCCTTCTAAATTCCTTTAATGTCTTTGCTTGTTTATAAAAAAAAGCAATTCCTACTAGTTACTTCGGTTTTGTTACAATAATCGTGAGTATTTCTGCATGGAGCACATTTTGTCCTGATTTTTTGGCGTTCGTTTCTTCTAAGTCTTCACAATGCTCTTGATTGATTACTATTTCAAAAACTCGCGTACACTCGCGTACACTCGCGTACACTCGCGTACACTCACACACTATTCGAATCCGACGGTTTTTGCTTCTATTTCTTGAGCAACAATTCCCATTTACTTTGTCAGACATAAAATCAACTCTAGCTCCTTGTAAAATAAACAGAAAAACCACGGTACGAAAATTGCTTTTTGGAAATTGGAAAAATACCACAGTTTCAATCAATTGACTTAGAGCATTGAGTAAAACTAAAAAAACACACCAATTCCGATCATATTGAATAGTTTTTCTTTTGTTTTGGTTTTGTTTCAGTTCGATTTCGAAGTCGAACTTCAAATGATGTGGGCTTTATTGAAATGCATTGCTTCGTTTAGTTGTTTCTTCTCTCTCTCTCTCTCTGTGTGTGTGTGTGGCCGGAAAATAAATCGAGACAAATTAAAACGAAAATCGGTATCGGCATGAATACGGAAACTTTGTGCGAACCGGCACGTGCTGAATACTAAATTTGGCTTCAAAGTTTTCAATGGAATTTCTCGATTTCGTCTTTTCTTCGTATTCCCTCAAAACTGTCGAATTGTCATGCTACATTCCATCGCGAAATAAAAGCTTTTATTGTTCGGGATTTCATGATTCAAATTGGATTTGTTGTTTGTGTGTGTTTCGTGGTAATTCAATGCATTCGGATTAGTTCAAGATGGTTGACGATAAAACGGCCAATGATTTGATGTGCGTTTCCTCGTTACGTGAACCTGTCAGGAAAAGAGAAAGGTAAACCAAGAACATTAAAACATATTTTATTGGCATTTCCAACACATAAATATCTCAACAGTGGTAATGATAATGCGCAATTACTTGAATCTATGCATCAAATACACCAAAATAACCAAGAGTAAGACAAACGAAACGGTATTCACTCTGGGGATGAGTTGATTGTGGGTTTGTACCACCTCAAAAATTTAATAAAAACCATTTTTCCCTTCTGATAAGCAGTACAATCGCTTCCATGTGGTTTTATTGTTGAACGTATCTATATCTCACTCTCTCCATCTCAGAAAATGAATACCCAACCAGCTGATGGCATGATTGACGCAGTCAACGTGCAAGTGTTCCAGTGCCCGGGGTCCAAAGGACCAAAGAGAAAAAATGAAAATATTCCGTCGTTATTAAGCATGAACTCAGTCAGCCAGCGAATATCATCGACATTGCGGCGTGCATTTACGATTTCATAATTTCGTCGTAAAAAGAACATAAAAGTTTCGTATTCGAAGCGAGCAAGCGAGCGGAGGAGAGAGATAGTGATAGAGACAGAGACAGAGAGGGAGCGGATGAGGGAACTAAATAAACACCGTTTTCATGCTTACTGTTGCATAAATCAAAGCGCTGATGAAATGATATAGCATTTTCATGGTCAATGCGATCGGTCGTCCAGCTCATATTTTCCGGAAATTTAATTTTCCACAGTGAGAAATTCTCGCGAGATTTGCCCCAATAACTGTGCGGTTCTGTAAAGGGACCGGCGTTAAGTTTCAAATTCATAAGTTGCTCACGAATCTGCATGAGAATTTTTTTTTCATTTTTTTTTTCTTCGCTCTCAGTCGCTTGCTCTCTCTCTCTCTCTCTACCTCTCTTTTACTCGCTTTTCGTGAATTATGTGAGTATCTCAAGTCTTGAGAAATAATTTGCCCAATGATTTTTTCTCCCAATTTTGAGTGGATTCTTTTCTTTCAATCTCCACAAAGTGCGGTATTCTTACCGCAAGCAAAAATATGGCCCAATATTTCCCGCTATTCTAGTCGTGAGAACTTTCATCAAAAGCACATACACAAGCACCCATGTTGAAGAAACATCATGTGACAGATAAGTAGTTTTTTTTTAGATGTATTTCTAAGTCGCATGCATTCATGCAAAACTAAGCAGCTAAGCGTTGGCGATTTATCTACCCCAACAGAGAATATCAAGAAAATCCGACCTTTTTACAGATTTTGTTTCGGCCGAAAGATGAAACATAGTCCGAAAAAAATCTGGGAATTCTGAAAAAAATATGTTTTTGAAATAAAAATTTTGATATGGAGAGTTGTAAACGCCATGACTAAAATAATACGGTCCATTTATGTCTCTTTTTTTTAAATTACCCACTATAAAAGCGTTGTATATGTGCACGAAAAATGTAGGGTCGTGATTGTGCAACGAAAGTATAATGTCCTCCCATAAGCAGTATGGGAAGGCGTCACATACACAGTCGATAGTTGGTGCTAGCGACCGACCAACTAACCGACCGACATGAAACGAAGAAAGAGAGAAAGTGAAAAAAAATAGCAGAGAATATAAATTTTCATTGAAACGAGCAGCGACAACGTGTAAGATTTATCATCGGCGAGATTTCATTTGTTACCGTTTGAAGTAGTGGAAATAAGAATGTGCTTGGCATGAGCTGAGATATGGTCGTCGCGTGATAGTATCAGGAAACGGAAATAAGTATGGGAGTACGAAACTAGCGGAATGTTTTTGTGTAGCGCCATCGTTATGCTATCGGCTTATGGGTATGAGTGCGAGCGCCCATGTTTGTGTCCATGTTTCTCTCTCTGTGTGTGTGTGCGTTTGTGTATTGATGAAGGCGAATGAAAGTGAGCGGTGCGCGAATGTGTGATGTTGTGACGTTGTTGCACGGGCTAAGTCGAATAATAATACAAGAAAAAATACTTAGCACAATCTTTTGATACTCGCTCCAAAGCACATGCACTTCAGCACAATGATATATTAGCGTGTGTCGTCGTTATTGTATGTGCAGGCTTCAGTTTTTATTCGTCTTTTTATTCGGTGCTTTTCTTTCTCTCCATTCGATTTCCCTCACTCTCTCTCTCGCTGTTTGAGTGTCGTAACTTTATAATTTTTCCCTCATTCTATTTGTCGCTCTCATTCGCAACATTTGAATGCATTCCATTCAACGTCGTTACATGGCTAACAGCGACAACATTTTATTATTCTTGTACCGACGAATAAAATATATGGTTCACATATGTTCCGCTCAATGTGCTCGTCAAGCAATATGTGCACACATTCACATAATTTTTATTTTTGCTAGTCGCTCTCTCTTTCTTGTTCGTTTGTTCCTCGTCTCGCCTTGCCTTGCTTCCTCTTCTATTGCCGTTGCCTGGGCTTTTGAGCAACGAAAATGTTACAATATTTTTTCCCGTTATTTTGTTTCATTTTCCTTTTTCCCCACTCCCATCGGATCGGTTTTCTTTTCAATGAGAGTGATATGTGTATTGTTTTGACAATCGAATTCGTTTCGAACGGTTTTCATTTTTGGCCATTGCTCGTTTCACGTCGATTGCCTCTCTCATTCCTTTTTTCCATTGCCTTCTTCCATTCTGTTTTTCATTTCGTTTGTAATCGAACAAAAACTTATATGTATGAAATACGAGTGCTCAGGTATGCGAATATCAGGCTGTTTCAAACTGAAATATGGATGGCATTCTGGTCTATTAGGCTAAGTGGCGAATCATACATATATGTCGAAGTTTGACTAACGCAGAACTTTTGAGAGCATCTCAATATACCTCATATTGCCTTTATTCTATTACGCAATATACGGTTCAGCCAACAGGCGTAGCTGCCGGATCCAGTGGAACTGGAACCGAGAACATAACCAAACGACTGCGTGTGTGTGTGTGTTTGCGTACAATTCTGGATGAATCACATTTTCAGCAACATACGCTTTCTTTGTGCGACATACACTAAAGTGGCTTTTGTTATGAAATGTGTCCTAAGATCCTATTTAGCGCAAAATTCTGTAATATACTTTCTTTGCTGTCGTTTGCTCGCCTTCTCCCTCATTCGGTTATTCCACTAATGGTTAGTATGCGTTTTTTTTTTGTTCTCATTGACTGCAATGTGTCGCCCGTACGAATCACTCTCGGTGCTCGGTAACATCATATGTTTTTTTCTCTCCTTTTGCGAACACCGAAACGGAAATTCTCTCACGTCACGTTATTCGTGTGTATGGGTACGCCTCACCTATTCGAGCAAAGTTTCTGCATCTCCATTTCTTCTTCTTTTTCTTTTCCTTCTTCATTGAGCTATCTCTCGGGCACAGAATCAAGTAGAAAATAAAAGGAGCATAACAAACCAGCAAACGCAGAATGAAAACAGCCGGAAAACACAATTACATCACACACCGAGAGCACACACACACACATAAGTGAGCTTTAGACAGTTACTTACACTTGAATGCCATAGTGACAGCATATTAACATATAAATGCACATGCCGCTCCGCACTTGATAACGATGCAATGCGAAAATTGATGAAGACAAAAAAGAACCGGAGCAAACTCGCAAAGAATTAAGGTCGAATAATAATGCAAGTATTCACCTTCCATTTTTTTTCTCCCCTGAACAATATTTCAGCCAAGTTTCATATAAAATAGCAGCTCCAGTATTTTGGAGCTAGAAACAACATTCCCTTGAAAACTTTTCCCGGAAGCAAACAATCATCTTGACTCATCTTTTCCAATGTGACAAATATTCCGAGTTTATTGCATCAAATGACTCCGGGTGGAATGCGTAGCAACAATTTTTTTAAATTAAAATATTTAGTTACCAAGTGGAAATACATAAGATTCGTTGACTTTAGTTGAGCCAAAAAATATTGAATTGAACTGAAATGATGGAGAGCAAAAATGCAGAGACAAAAAGAATAGTAGACGAAATGAAACAGTAGTCCCACTTCTTTTCCTGAATACCTAATGATCAACAAAGTAGAATTCGTAGCAAAACATAAACAGCAACAACAACAAAATTTACATGTAAGCTCTATATCTCAGTAGGAAAAAAAGTGTGTGCAGATCTAGACGAGAGTTTCACATAGCAACATTGTAATGAGAATGTTATTATGAAGTCAGAACATTGTTCGTTCGTTGATGACATGAGAAATTTATTTACATGGTAAAGCTTGATGCTGACTACGCTGAAGAGTATGAGAGAAAAAATGTGCTCACTGCGAAAAAATTTCGACAATTTTTCCGGGGATTTTTGTTTCTTTCATATTCATCCTTCCAAACCGGCTCCACTGTTTTTCGGTGTTGTTGCCGCTGTTGTTCTTGTGTACACGATGACTTTTTTTTGTGTGCATGCTTAGGGCGAAAAAAAATCTTTTCGCTGCGATTTTTACATTTTACACGTATTTTGAATACAGTGTGTAACTTTTTGTGCACGTCGCATGCCGAACAAAATTCAACTTTTTGACACACTCACTAAATATGTGTGTGCACTGTGCAGATATGTTTTTTTTTTTGGAATAGGTTGAAAGGTAGAAAAACCAATGTTAGTGCTTTGAAGTGTGAGTGTGAGTATGTGCCAATTGCATATTCAAAAAGTTAGAAAAACAACAACATTTTAGGAAATTCTGATGTAATAATGCTCAAATGTTAGTATTTTTGCAAGTTTTGTATGTGTTTGTTTTCGTTCCATCAGAGATGTAGGAAAAAATTGGCAATCATTAAGCTAAATTGGACGGTATACGATGTGAACATTACGAAATTATATGTTCAACACTAAATTTGTATTGAAATGAAAAAGTTGATCGACCGTCTGAAGCACTTCAATGCATGAGCAAGTAAGCATTTCATTTTAGCTACCTCGTTTAAACAACGGATCAAAATCCACTCCCTCTCGCTCTCACATACATGCTCACTTTGCCGGCGATTGGGTTAAGTTATTCGCTCGAGTAATTTGCCATATGCAAGATG